TATTACCTCTATACACACCGTGACATTTTATACTGTGATCAGATTTCCACAGGTTAACAACAAAATCGCTATCTGGCAAATCAATTACATTTTCGTACTCTACTGTCTGTGATGCTCTTTCTTGTTGAAGATCCTCTTCGTTATATGGTATCCCGCCAGGAGCACCTTTATACCGATTCATACTAGCATAAAAAAAGTCTTCCGGGTTTTTAGTGTCGTGGGCCCATTCTAAGAATGACTTAGCTATATCAGATTCGGTTAGAAATTCCAAAAATTCGCGGGTTGATATAAAGTGCTCCCCTTTTCGAAATATTTTAATGTTTCCAGGAGGATTCTTTTTTTTAATATTTGTTCGTACAAGTAATGTTTCTCCTTCGATTTCTTTCAAAGCAAACGAATACATAAAGCGTTTTTGAAAACGTTCAGCAGGTATATCCCACGGGACAACGTTTTCATACGGTTTTTGTTTTAAATATTGCACAAAATAAGTATTATTTCTTAATGGAAAAGCAGAACTGGGTAAATTAAATCCATATCTCCACGGAACAGTGGTGTTAAGAAGTTTTTTGAAACAAGCAATTTGTGCTAATAGGCGATTGTATGTCTTAACTTTTATTTCGTATATTCGATCGGGTAAAATAATATTTGGAACGCAGTCGGAAATTTTTTTAAAAACATTTAAGTACGTTGAGCCAAATATTGAGTTAGGGTGAATACAGTATAAATTATCATGATGATAAATGCTTGACAAAAAACGCAATGATTGTTCAACAGTTCGGTCGAGTGTTATAGTATATGCAATTGGATAAGATTTATAACTGTATTTTGGAGTTTTATAGGAAAATATGTTGTGAACAGGTATGCAACTGTGCCGTATTGAGTCGTAAATTTCAGAGACGTTGATGTATTTATAAAACTTATGGTTTAATTTACGAGCAAAAAGTTGACTTTGATTAAGTTGCTTTTCATACATACTTATCAGGTTATCGCAGTTTAAAAGCTTAGCTTGATCGTTTTGCTTATTTGGATCCCACATTTGATACAAAAGCCGGTGTAGTTTATAATTAATGTTGTCAAATTCCTTGATTGTTTTTTTTCTCTCCGTAGATTTAAGAAGTAATGCATCTAGACTTTGCCCTGCGACTATCGACTTCAAGCTGTTTTTTAAAGTTTTGTTGTGTTTTTTGAAGATAAATCGTTTTTCACTTTTGGCAAGTCTTTTTTTATCAATATGTTTTGATTTTTCTTTTCTTTGAGTTTCGAATAAAAAAAAAACAATGACCAGTATTATCAAAATAATTAGTACTCTCCGATAAATCCGCATGGTAAAAAATCTCAAGTGTGCGCCGACAGTCCTATTCGCTTATAAGGAAGAACAACCAATTGCATTAAAATTCTAAATATTAAAAAAACATAAACATCAACTTTGTTCCTAGTATTTTTTAACTTAAAAGATCTTCAAAACTTCCGAACGACCTCGATAATAATTAACCATTTATTGTATGTAAATTACCGTTTATTGTATGTATTAAGACGCTTGTATGTGAATTGCAATTATACGTATATTAGAGATTACATAGAGAAAAATATTGAAAGTCAAGCATTATTATGTTTAACGATTGTTTAATGACCGCGAAGCGTTTTTAAATTACTGCGTTAAAATTTTACTGCGCGGAAGTTTTCAACCGTTTAAACTTCTTTTGCGGTTAATTAATAACGTTAATATGATAATATTTGAAAGTTTAAATTTTACTTCGCTCGTTATAATTTTACTAACTTTTTAGTTTAAACTTATATAGCTTATTTTGCCTAGATGTACAAAAATGTTAACTTTAATGATGTCAGGAAATATTTAAATGACAATATTTTCCTGAAGATGTGAAAAAAAACAAATTTTAAACGGCAATGTACAAACTTTGTTATTTTTGACAATAAGTTGATGTATTGCAAAAAATGTATTGGGGAGGTTAGAAAAACTTATTTTATTAAAAGAAGCAACTCAATTTCAAATTAATGAAACATGCCTCCAAAGAAATTCTCCAAAAAATAGCTCAAGAAAAAGGGTTTAAATTTTTTATAATGCCAGGTCTTTTTGATAGAGAAGAAAATTATGTACCTTTAAAAATACATGTTTGCAAAGGTGATGGTAATTGTTTTGTTTTTTTTTTGAGCAATTTTGTTTTTGCTGACAGTTTCTGAGTATCAACATATACGTTTCGTGATGTTGTTGTTAAGCACATGGTATCAAAATCTTCTTCCAGTCTTTTGTCAGGATATTTAGGTGATGATGCGGAAAACAATATTACCAAAAGTGGTATGGCCACAGGCTGTATATGGACTACAGATGTTGAGATCCTTGGTATTGCAAATCTTAGTGCAATTGATCACTGTGTGGTCATTCACTGGACAAAAACTAGCATGGCTCAAATATCCAGCATCCATTAAACTCGACCAATATTATGCGGTAGTGGTGTAGTGGTAAAACACTCGCTTTATAAGCGAGAGATTCCGATTTTGATCCCAACCACGTCCCTAGTAGTACCGCGCTCAACTTGTTTCTCCGCGCAGCGGCCTTGTTCGTCAAGGTTCGTGTTTCGGAGTTATAGAGTTGAGAGAGGGTTATAACCACTATTAAGTAGCCTCCTTGTCTGTAGTGGCCTTCTCGGCCTTCTCGGAGGTGAATAAAAAAAACTAAAAAAAAAAACTAACAACTCATAGTATTATAATGTTGTTTTGTCACTAAAAACTTTGTAAATGAAATGATATTTATACTGAACTAAAATGATGTTCGTATATCAGTTGTTTCACATGTTGTTTGTTATAAAAAAATAAGTAATTTGCTCAAGGTTGCATATTCAACGTAAACAAACTTGTTTGTAATAAAACTCTGCAGACGTGATTTTATGGATCGCTAGGCTATTTAATTTATTCATAGAATAGATTTTGCCGCACAATAAAGGAAAATTGCTTTGCTTGATGACAGTAAAATAATAACGAGCGCGGTTATAACACTAAAATGTTGCTGCCTCAGTATAATTTTATTGTTATTAGTTTACTGCAAAAGAATTTTAAACGGTTGAAAACTTCCGCACAGTAAAATTTTAACGCAAACGTTACAACGATTGTAATATAGAACTTTTAAACTTTGTATATATAAAAAGTATTTTATGAAAACAGAGAGGACACACTGCAGTGGAGCATACTTCAAGACCATGGTAGACAACCCAAACAATTTTTTTTTTGATAATGAACAGGGACCATTTCCTGATTCCAAAAACGTATTAAACAAAATCATTCATTGGGGGCTTTTTGAGAAATTAGATATTTTAGATTTTTGAGAGGTTGCGTGATAAAAAAAATCACATGAAGCCTGATTTTGCCGTTTTTTGTGTCAAAATGACCGTCTTTTAAAATCAAGAAGGTTTGTTTTTTCTTCAACATTACTATCCGAGGTCGTATTCACTGTCAAATTGTCTTATACACATGAAACATGATGAATCCTTAAAATGAACCATTTCTTTTCATTTCCGAAAAAATGTATAACCTATTTTATATCTAAAAAATATTTTTAGAGTCAATTTGGTATTTTTGGTTTAATTAGGAGGTATGTTAGGTTTTAGAAATGTGTCAATAAATTAAAAAATTAAAGGTGTTGCAAAAAATTAAATTTATTACATCAAAAATGTTTAACGTTATTAGCAACAGTTGCTTTTTTTAGTGCTGTAAGTTAATTTGGGCTATGCTGCCCAACTTTTCAACTTTCCCAAAACTGCTTGAAGTCTTGATGAATAGACTCCAAGGCCTGCTCTGTCCAGTAACCTAATCCTAAACATCATATATATCTTGTATAAGGAAATAGGATTGACAAATCAAAAATTAAATGTGTTGTATTGTATTATATTCAATATTATTAAATTTACTAAATAAACAATGTAGAAATCTTACCAAATTGTCCTCCCTTCATTTTGATGAACTCCTCAATATGTTGTTCTACTATGTGTACATTTATGTTGTCAATATATGTTGGACTAACAGATTTGTCAAAACATCCTTGAACTATTTTGTTGAAGTCTCGTAAAACTTTTATATACTTGGCCTTTCTGTTGGGAAAATACTTCCAAGCTCTCTATTTTTTTCAGAAAAAGGTTGCAAGCATTGCCTTCCAGGCGATGCTGCCCTTGGTAAGATACCCGGTTGAGATTAATAGATCCCAAAAAAGAACTTATAGATATAAATCCCTCCTCCTTGGTTTCAAATAACTTCTTTCCCATTTCTGAGATTAACTTGTCTGCTACACCTAGCAGTATATGTAGACCTGGTATATTAACTATTTCAATTATCTTCTTGGTTGGATACCCAGTTAATAGAGGTGGATGTACAACATTACTAAACTCTTTTGCATTTTCTACTTTTGCACCGTCCACCATCCAATCATCGTACAGTTTTCAAAGAGAAGACAACGTATAATGTTCAGATTTCATCATTTTGGGAGATGAGGTTTTACAGAATGGGCAAGGATGTTTAGCTGTTGCTGTCTGTTTGCCAACCATCTGGAGCAAAACTTTCAGATCTTCTGGTACAGTGTAGTCCAAAGAATTTATCATCAATTTATCAAGAATAATTTTTAAATTTGCATAGCTTTCATTCATTGAGGGCAAAATGGCGAGAATGAGAGTTTTGTAAACACTTGAATACTTAAAAGCTTGGCTTGAATATCCTTCCCCATTTCAACTTTTTTCTCTGGGACAGTATGTGTCTTCATGTCTGGTTTTAACCTAAAAGTCACTTTAAGGACCCTTGCCTCTACGCCAAGCTTGATATCAACATCATTAGGGACCTGATTTCTATGTTGAAGGACCAGGGCCACGAGCTCTTTAACATCATTACAATATACTCCAGGAACCTCTTTCTCAACCATCTAAACATGCAAAATCAAAAATTAGTTACCTAGCCACTTGTGTTATACTAATTAAATGTTAATACTCAACCTGTCTAAAACATGATGAAAAATATTTATGTACATGTTCAAAATACTTACATAAAATGTGTTCTTTGCTAGAGATTTGTAAAGAAAAAAGATTTTAATTTATTTTTACCTCTTTTTTCCCTGCGTTACTCGTTTTCTTCATAAAAATAGAAAGCTTTTCTCCATTAAAAAGGTCTAGAATAGCATTATTATTGCTTGTCAATTTCTTATTGAATCCTGGTTCAACATTTACACCCTCAAACCGAAGAAACAGATTTATCTTAATCATTTTACAATCACTTCAATGAAGTTTCAGTTGAAGTAGATAAAGTTTTTCTGATGTAAAATATGGTTTTTTTGGCTCAGTTCCAATCCTGACAACCATCTTATTTGGCCAAAAGTGTTTAGAATTATTTCCTTATCTGAACTAAGATCTTTCAAAAATCTTGAAAGAACTCTTTGTTTAGTCACAGGGGACGCCGACTGTACAATAGGTGACAAACTCTTTTGTCTCTCTAATTTGGTGCAAGGATGAGACTTTCCTTTTCCAATTTGGGTATAGCATGTATTGCATAAATTTCTCTCTATTAACTGGTTTTCAGGACCTCGAGCTACTGAATTTCCTGTAAATCATTCTACCATTGGGACTGTAACTTCAATTTTTCCATTCTTTCTTCCATTTTCACAGATGAAACATTCACATTTGCCCCCTCTAACAATTCTAGTGTTCAAATCTAAAAGAAAAAAATATTCTTGGCATGAATATGCAACATATTTATTTATATATCACCTAATTGTTTAATGAAAATTGTACTTATATTTGGCATTTACCTTCATAACTTGGCCTGGATTTAAAGGTTGGATCTACACTCAACAACTTTTTTCTACATTTTGAGCAAATCATAACAGGGAGATCTGGGTTTTGGCTCGCATAATCTTGCCAAAAGTGCATTTTGAGAAGCTGGCTGTAATCATGTTTTCCATTTAATAAATTAATTTCACTTTGCAGTTAATAAATCTTAAATCTTTTGACTTCTGTAAGCAGCAAATGCAGAACAACTTTACAAACTCATCATGTGTTTTTGCCTCATGAGGCATTTTCTTAACTAATTAATCTATCTGAAAAAAAATTTCTTACTTGAATAAACTCTTTGTAAAATATAACAATGTCGACTTGAACACAAGTAGTGCTGCACAATTTCACATAAGTTGATATTAATTTTGTAAACATTTACTAAAATCAGCTGATTAATTGGTAAACAGCTGTTATTGATAAACAAAGTATTTAAAATAATGTTTATTAAAAAAACCGGTTATTTTATAAACTTTTATTAGCCAAAAGTATATACATAAAGTACATATATTAAGTACATACATTAAGTATATATATTAATCAAAAGTTAATCAATATAAAATATTTCAAATTTTTTAGCTTGTTCTGAACACAGTGCAGTGGAGCATACTTCAAGACCATGGTAGACATCCCAAACAATTTTTTTCTCTCAAAACCTCTCAAAAATCTAAATACCTAATTTCTCAAAAAGCCCCCAATAGATGATTTTGTTCAATACGTTTTTGGAATCGGGAAATAGTCCCTGTTCATTATCAAAAAAAATTGTTTGGGATGTCGACCATGGTCTTAAAGTATGCTCCACTGCAGTGTGAGGAAGAAAAAAGAAACTCTAAATAAGTTGTTTAGTTTTTCTAAGCATATGAATGCGATAATGCAACATCCCTTACGGAAAATTTTCATCAAAAAACCCATGAAAAAAAACCATGGAAAAACCATGGTTATTTGGAACACGTTTTAATGGGAAACCCATGAGTTTTCCATGGGAAATCCATGAGTTTCCTATGGGAAACCCGTGAATTTTCAATGAAAATCCATGAGTTTTCCATGGGATATTCATGAGTTTTCATGGGAAACCCGTGAGTTTCCCATGAAAAATCCATGAGTTTTTCATGGAAAAGTGTTCCAAATACCATGGATATTCAATGATTTTCCATCCATGGAAAAATTTCCATAGGTATTAGGAACACCTTTCCAAGGAAAACTCATGGATTTTTCATGGTAAAAAAGCATGATTTGTTTTCAAGTTTTTTTGATCTAATGTTATTTGAATCGTCATATTAAATCATAAAAGCAAATTTTATCAGACTAATAGATAGATTAAGAGTTCTCTTAATCTATGGGATCGCTTTCTCCGAATAAAATCAATAAACAAAATAAAATTATATTAACTATTTGATAAAAATAGTATATATAAATTTGATAATAACTTCAAGTTTTAACAAGTTAAAAAGAACCATTAATACAACATATTCAATTCAAGAAAAAATCAAGCCCATTTATGTCAAACAAAGTACCATTCACATTTTGATATTCATTATTTTTTTCACCGTAGTTAGTCTCATTCTCCATTTCACCAATCTAGACAATACATCATACAAATATTATATACATTCTAACTAGTTTTCTTTATTTACTAATTCATTTTACTTATAATTATCTATTATAACTTGCTTTATAATTAGGCATTATACACAATTATGAATGTTGCCAAATGTTAGGTAACATATAGAAAAAAAGTAGCAATAAATATATCATTGTTTATAAATAATAATTATTAGATTATTACCTCTAAGCTATCTGCATTATGTACAACATCGTTTATATTTCCAGTCAAACATTCCTGCCTATAAAGTAACTTAATTAAAATGATTTATTCAAACTAATACATATACAAATGTTACCTGCATGTTAGAAACATTTATACAGAACAAGGCAGCAACAAATATTATATTACTTATTTATTTTTGTATTTTAAAAAAAAAATCACTTCTTTGTCTGAGCTATCTGCGTGATGTACAACATCATTTACAAACCTGTTTTCTTCACGTCCTTACCATCTTTATATATATTATAAAGCACAGGACTTGTTAATGAACGGCTAAATAAATAAATTAAAAATTTATATTGCCAGTCAAACCTGCCTGCTAATAATGTAGTAATTTAAATGAAATGATAAGGTTATAATGAAAAGATTTATACACATATATAAATTTTACCTGCATGTTAGCAACATTTATATAGAACAAGGCAGCAACAAATATAGTATAACTTATAAATTGTAATTTTAAGTAAAAACTTACTTCTTTGTCTGAGCTGTCTGCATGATGCACAACATTATTTATATTGTCAGTCAAACTTACCTGCTAATAATGCAGTAATTTAAATAAAATGATAAAGTTAAATTAAAAGAACTTATGCACACACTATTAAATTCAAAAATTTATTATATTTTTTATTTACTATTTAAAACATAACAAATATAATAAATATGTAATTTATAAAGTATAGTAATGTAAAAGCACAATAAATATCAAAGTGTGTGCATAAATTAATTTATTTTAACTAAAGAAGAGCACTTTACATTAGTTAAATATAAACAAATAAAAATAATTGTATTATAATAAATAATAGTGAATTATTTATAAACATTGCTTTTATATGGTTATATTTAATTATGAAGCAAAATCTTGTGCATTAATTAACTTCCCTTTCTGATATTGAAAATGGAACTAATAACATAAAAGAAAAAATAGCAGAACTAGAAAACAGAAGTCGTAGAAACAACTTGAGATTTATTGGGATTAAAGATAAAGCTAATGAAACTTGGGAAGAAAGTGAGCAAAAAATCAAAGACTTCCTCAATACAAAGCTTAATATACAAGAAAAAATTTTAATAGATAGAGCCCATCGAGTTGGAAAAGAAAACGGAAAAAACAGATCAATAATTGTTCGGTTTCAAAACTACAAAGACAAAGCCCTAGTGTTAAACAAATATACGACAATGAAGCTATGGAACGAACGGTTGTACGTTAACGATGACTTTAGCGATTTTACAATGGATTTGCGCAGAAAGCTTTTCAAAGAAGCGAAAGAATTGAGAGCGAAAGGTAAGTTTGCTAAAGTAGTTTACAATAAATTTATTACGCGCGACCTATTATAAAGGAATTCTTTTAATATTCTATAATTAAATTTAAAAACAAAAATGGATGACTACGAATCCATTACTTTTAATTTTCATGATAAGTACTTAAAATCAAATTTTAATTCAGATCCAGATGTCAACTTTTTTAATGATGTGAACATATGTTGTTCTTATTTTTATCCCAACGAGTTAAAAGAATTTCTTAATAAAAATGGCACTGAAAATCAAAAAATCAGAATCCTTCACATTAATATTAGAAGTCTAAATACAAATTTTGAAAAGTTTTGCGATTTTTTAGATGAAACTGAAAATATTATTAACATAATTTGCTTAACAGAAACGTGGATTTCTTCGAATGATTTTAAAAATAATTCTATTTTCCATCTTCCAGGTTTTGAAACAGTTTTATTAGAAAGACAAACAAATAAACGCGGTGGAGGAGTTCTGATTTACGTTAAGGAACTCATTGCGCATAACATTAGGAATGATATGTGCGTTTCTGACGGTGATAAAGAAATCATAACTATTGAAATTTTAAACAATAAAAAAAATAATATTCTATTAAGCTGCTGTTATAGACCACCGATGGTGGTGAATGGTGCGTCTGAAAATCTTAGTTTCTTTTTACAGCAAAATATCATTCACAAAGGTAGCAAAGAAAACAAAATTACTTTTATAATTGGAGATTTCAACATGAACTGTTTAAATTATAATAAAGATAAAAAAATAAAAAATTTTTATGATGAAATATTTATGGCAGGAGCTGTTCCTTTAATTAATCGCCCTACTAGAATAACCAAAACTTCAACTACATTGATTGATAATATTTTTACAACAGATATTTATAATAGAAAATTGAAAAAAAGAATTATAAAAACCGACATATCCGATCATTTACCCATTTTTCTAACAATCCATACTGTATCCTCTAATAACCCCGAAAGACAAAATATAATAAAAAAACGTGTTTTCAATGAGAGCAATATAAAATCCTTCCAATATCAATTATCACTTCTGCATTGGAAACATATTAACTTTAATGAAGACGCAAATACAATATATAATAAATTCTTTGATACGTTCTTCTCAATATACGATGCAAACTTTCCACTTTGTGAAAAAATAACAAAAATAAAAACCTTAAATAGTCCATGGATTACCAAAGGACTTAGAAAATCCTCTAAAATAAAACAGAAACTATATATAAAATATCTAAAAACAAAATCAAATGAAAACCAACAAAAATATAAAAATTACCAACATTTATTTGAAAAAATTCGTAAAAAATTAAAAAAAAATTATTATTCAAATTTAATTAGTAAATTTAAAAACGACTCAAAAAATACTTGGAGAACGTTGAAAGAAATAACAGGAAAACAAAAAACAAATTCAAACTCCCTTCCTAAAGTAATTAAAATAAATAAAACAAATATATATGAACCAAACGAAATTGCAAACGAGTTTAATAAATATTTCATTGACATAGGAACCAAATTGGCAAACAAGATCCCTATTACAGAAAAAAATTTTAGTGATTTCCTAGAGCCTATAAATAATTCGCTTTTTATAGATAATTTACATTCTGACTTATCTTTTGATGAGTTTGAGATAGCTTACAAATCTCTCAAAAGAAACAAAGCTACGGGTGCGGACGAAATAAATGGCAACATAGTCATAGATTGCTTTGAAAACTTAAAGTGTATTCTTTATAAAGTCTTTAGGGCATCTATACAGCAAGGTGTATTCCCCGACCAACTAAAAATAGCTAAAGTAACTCCTATATACAAAAACGGAAAAAAATCAAATATTAGTAATTATCGCCCCATCTCAGTTCTTTCAACTTTCTCAAAAATTTTAGAAAGAATTATATACAATAGAACATACAATTACCTTAATCTAAATAAACTTCTATATAAAAATCAATTCGGTTTTAAAAAAAATTGTTCAACTGAACAAGCCATTACACAGTTCATTCGTGAAATCTCCGATTCATTTGGTAGATCACAATATACATTAGGTATTTTCATTGACCTATCAAAAGCATTCGACACGGTCGATCACAAAATTCTACTTAAAAAACTCAAATTTTACGGAATTAATGGCAAATTAATAAAATGGTATCAAAGTTACTTGGAAACAAGAAAACAATTTGTTTTCTATGGAGATTATTTTCAAAATGAAAAATTAATTGAAATAAAATGTGGTGTTCCACAGGGATATATTCTAGGCCCACTTTTGTTTTTAGTTTATATAAATGATTTAAATAAAGCTTCTAACCTTATGAGTATAAATTTTGCGGACGATACTAATTTATTTCTGTCAAACAGTAGCATTTATGAGCTTTTTTCAAATATGAATAATGAACTCAATCAGATCTCCAACTGGTTTAAGTGCAACAAGTTAACTTTAAACATTGACAAAACAAAGTGGATCCTTTTCCACTCTCTTGCTAAAAAGCGTTTTTTACCAAATAAATTTCCTAAACTTTTTATTGATAAAATTGAAATAAAAAAGGAGTCGGTCACAAGATTTTTAGGCATTTACATTGATGAAAATATTACATGGAAGTATCATATCGACTATATTTCTACTAAATTGGCTAAAAGTATTGGAATTCTATATAAGGTCAGATACTATCTAAGTAAACAAAATTTAATTCAACTCTACTACTCGTTTATTCATAGCTATATAAATTATGCAAATATTGTTTGGGGAAGTACCTCTAAAAGTAAGTTACGAAGTCTTTACCATCGTCAGAAACACGCAATGCGTTTAATATGTTTCGAAAATCGTTTTTCTCATTCAAATATTTTATTTAAAAACGTTAAAGCACTTAACGTTTACGAACTCAATGTCTATAATATTTTATGTTTTATGTTTCGTTGTAAAAGTGAGCAACCATTGTCCAATTTCAAAGATCTTTTTACTTATAAAGCTATAAACAAATATGCTTTACGAAATAATAATTTATTAATTGAACCCTTTTGTCAAACAAAGTTTAATCAATTTTGCATAAACTATAGAGCACCGTATTTATGGAACAAAATTGTTGTTCCAAATTTTGATTTGTCAATTTCGTTTTCCGATTTTTAAAACTAAATTAAAAAACTATATTCTTTCTACTGGCAATATATATAAATATTTTTGAAATGTAAAATTCTTTCTTTTTTTACTCTGGATAATTTGTAAAATTATTTTCAGTTTTTGTTTCTTCTACATTGTTATTAGTTATTTGATCAATTGTATTTTATTTTATTATATATACACGTATTATATCTTTTATATGGTTCTGGCGACAAGATCATTTGGATCTTCTTTCAGATACCAAGTTTCATATTGTTATATTGTTATATTACGATTAATAATTGTAAACTGAAAAAAAAAAAAATATATATATATATATATATTTCTGAAACATTACCACAGTTTTCCTTCTCCAACTCAGGGGTTCTTGGAACATCTTTACAAGTTGAATCCCAAAGATTACGTTTATATCTTTTCTGGTTAATTTAAACTCAATTCACCATTTTATTTTGACAGCTTTTAAACTATTTTTAAAAATATTAAATGCATATAAAAACTGACGATGTTATAAACGATATAAACAATGAACAACATCCCGACGGGCATTTGTTTTTAAAAGTTACGATCTAAATGTATTTTAAATGTCTTTTAAACGTCTTTTAAACATTAATGTTTAAAAGACGTTTAAAAGACGTTTAAAACACATTTAGAACGTAACTTTTAAAAACAAATGCCCGTCGGGATTATTTATATTGCCAGTCAAACCAGTCGGCTTATAATGTAGTAATTTAAATAAATTAATAAAATAAATATAAAAGAATTTATAAAAAAATATTTATATTACATTATTTACATATTCTAATAATTCTAAAGAAAAAACAACAACAAAAAGACAAAAACAACTTAACAGAACTAAAATTGAATAGAACATTTATCATAAAAAAATGTTTTTTAATACATAATGAACATTTACCATACAATAAACTTCAAGCATTTTTATGTAATCCAAGGCTATTATAAAAAAAAAAAAAAAAGATCGTAAGTAAAGCTTTTGACACTGTCAATCATCAAATCCTTCTATCCAAACTGAAAAGTTATGGTATAATAAATACTAATTTGTCCTGGTTTGATAGTTACTTGAATAATAGAAAGCAGTTTATTTCATATGATAGCGGAAAAACGGAATATAAGTCAATCACCTGTGGTGTTCCTCAAGGATCAATTTTAGGACCACTTTTATTTCTCGTTTATATTAATGACTTATATAAATTTTCTAACATTCTAAACTTAATTTTGTTTGCAGATGATACAAACTTGTTTTATTCTAGTAAAGATATCAGTAAATTATTTCAAACAGTAAACAAAGAACTAGAAAAATTAACCCAATGGTTCAAATCAAACAAACTATCTTTGAACATCAATAAATCCAAATACACTTTGTTCCATCGTCTTCATAAAAAACAAGATATTCCATTAAAACTTCCTGATCTTTTTATTGATAACGCATTATTAAAAAGAGAGCAATCAATAAAGTTTTTAGGTGTGGTTCTGGATGAAAATTTAACCTGGAGGGACCACATAGGTCTAATTGAAAATAAAATATCAAAAAATATAGGTGTTTTGTATAAAGCCAAGCAGTTTTTAAATCTATCTTGTTTAAAAAACTTATATTTTTCTTTAATTCATTGCTACTTAAATTATGCAAACGTTGCTTGGTGCAGCACAAACGCAACAAAAGTAAAAAAACTGTTTAGTAAACAAAAACAGGCTATAAATATAATTACAAACGTAGACCGTTTCTCTCACACTAAAACATTATTTAATAAACTTAATATTCTAAATGTATATAAACTAAACCTTTACCATATTCTTATCTTCATGTTTAAACTTGATAAAAAAATATCACCAATGTTATTTAATTCACTTTTTGAAAAAATAAACCACATATACCCTACCAGATTTTCAAAAAACAATTACATTCAATCCAAAACACATTATTCAGCAACCAAATTCTCAATTGCAAATCGAGGTCCTAAGCTGTGGAATACAATATTAAATAATGAGCTGAAATCTAATTATTCTTTAAACCAGTTTAAAACAAAACTTAAGCAATTACTGATGATACATGAAAATGAATTAAAGTTCTTCTAAAAAGCTTTTTAAACTAGCAAACAAAAACAAAAATTAACCTACTAATTACTCTTTAATATTATATTTAATATTCTAACAATAGTCTGCTATTGTAAATGTATTTCTTATCTTATAAGTTTTGAATTTACAAACGATTTTTTAAGTTTTATTATTTGAAATACTAATTACTAAAAATATTGTAAAATTTTATAATTTCAATTTTTATTAAAAAAAGTTATTGTAAATTCTTTTTGTAATATTAATACTTATATATCATCTTATTTTACTAATCAGTTCTTAAATATAAATACTCTTTGAATTACTAAATATTTTAAACGTTATATATTTTATTTTTTACATTTTGTTAAAATATTTTATTTGATGAATATGCATTTTTTTGGGGGGGCTTAATGATAAGATGAATTTTGTCTTCTTCAAGCCCCAGTCATGTAAATATTTGTTTTTATAAATTACGAGTGTAAATTATTTTCAATCGGCAAATACAATACTAAATAAAAATAAAAAAAAATAAAATACTAGTTATCTTTAGTACATTAGTTATCTAATATTATTATCTTATCTTATCTTAGTTATCTAATCTTATCTGATATATTAATATATTAGATATTAATATATTAGATTATATATTAATATATTAGATATTAATATATTAGCTTATATATTACGCAGTGGCTACGGTACCGGCGGCTGGATCTTCAGCTCTAGCAGCTAGAGTACCGGCTAGTCTAATGACGATGACGTAACTTTTAGATGGTTTACTTATCATCCGCAGTAGTTCTAGGAAACCGGTTGGTAATATTTATTTTATTTGAGGAAAATGGATGTTGGAAATCTGTTTAATTGTTTTAATAATCCTTAATAAATAATAAAAAAATTTATATTTTTATACGTTCGTGATTTGTTAAAACTGATAAATTATATTTTAGTTATTTGTTAAACTTTACTTGTTAAACTTTACATGTTATACTTTACTTGTTATACTTGTTAAACTTTACTTGTTAAACTTTACTTTTTATACTTTTATCGTTAAACTTTACTTGTTATTTTATACTTTACATAATAACATGTTATACTTTACTTGTTATACTTTACTTGCTATACTTTACTTGTTTTACTTTACTTGTTATACTTTACTTGCTATACTTTACTTGTTAAACTTTACATATTATACTTTACTTGTTATACTTTACTTGTTATAATTTACATTTTATACTTTACTTGTTATACTTTACTTGTTATACTTTACATTTTATACTTTACTTGTTATACTTTACTTGTTATACTTTACATTTTATACTTTACTTGTTATACTTTACTTGTTATACTTTACATTTTATACTTTACTTGTCAAACTTTACTTTTTATACTTTATTTTTCAAACTTTATTTGTTATACTTTACTTGTTATACTTTGTTTTTCAAATTTTACTTGTTATACTTGACTGATTGTACTAATTTGTTTAAAAGCAACCATTAAAAATTATAATGTAAAAATAGTGTAAAAAATACATTGAATTAAAACTTAAGACTTAACATAGGCTATGTTAATATGTTAGGCTATGTTAGGCTATGTCATAGCATTTTATGGAGAAGAGTTAATCAGTTGTGTTGTGTTTTTTCATAAATTGATTTTTGTGTTTCAATAAAATTTATGTATTTTATCAGTAAATAAGGGACCAAAAAAACAAAATTTACTTGTTTTTTATTGTTCACGGTTTTACTCCCTGAAACCATTTTAATGTTCTTTTTTTGTTTTAAATTTTCAAAATTATAATGGTTTTGTAATTGTTTGCTGCTATTGTTTTTTTGAGCTTCAATGACTGCTTAAATCCATAATATTATAAATTAATGTTAGTTTTGTATTAATACTTTTTGGAATTGGTTATAGTTGTAGTTTTATTTACTTGTAAAGTCTTTTCATTGTTAATATGATACTTTTAAATTATTTTACTACTCATTGTTAATATGATATTTTTACATAATTTGTTTACTACTAATACAATACTTATACTACAAATACACTACAGTTTTCAATATTTAAAATATATAAAATTGTTGCAATTTTTTGTTACACTTTTAGTCTCTTCCTTCAGCCAGTTCCATTTTATGTTGCTAGAATGTTTTCATCTTTCTCACAAAACATTGGTATCCAATTTTATGTTTGGCACATATGGTTCCTTGTCTAGTTTGGTTCTATTTTATTGAAAGGCATTGCATGGTAATGAATTTTAAGGGCTGCTATATATTAACTTAAATCGACAAAAACTCAATATCAAACAGCTATCATTTTACTTCCCATAAAATTATATATTAATAATTTTTGGCAACTTGATTTTTATTTGTGATTTTCAAATGTATTAATTTAGGGTTTGGAAACAACATCTTGTTTTCATCAGAAGTTGGTCAACTTGCTATAATTATTATGTGTATATGTTATGATATATTGAAAATTTTAATATTTGTCTTGATATGACTTTATGTTAAGTCATGGCAGATGAATTATCATGGATTCATAATGTGTTAACAACTTGATGTGAAGTTAATTTTAAGCCATCTCACACCAATGCCATCATATGAAAATAGTGGCAAATGTTTCACTCGCCTTGCAACAAACATATGTTTACACGGTAATGCCATTGATTTATAAAATATACATTGACACTTTTGCTTGCTTATCAACACCTTATGACCTAATATTTCTAAGGTTGGATGTTCATTTTCTTCAACAGGGTTTAAACCTATTGCTTTTCGAATTGACTTGCTACAAACGTTTGTGCATAAGGTGTTAATATTTGAGAAAATTCTTTTAGAACATCATTTTGTAAAACAGCATGCACAGAGATGCGCTCGCAAGCAGTGATAAATGTATGATCTCTTTATTTTCGCATGCAATCAATTACAGTAATAAGGTCTTTGAAAAAAAGAGGAAGAGGGTTAAGTGAATTTAGGAAAGCTTTAATTCTTCTGTTCACAGACTCTAATCTATTTGTAGTTTGTTGTCCAAAAGTTAAATTCTGCTGTTGCAAACAATACACCCATTCAGTTATGCAAGTTCCAGTTATTTTCAAAATAAAGAACAACACTCTGTGGCATTTTGGCAACAAAATCATATCTCTGTTTTTCAAAGTCTATCTCAGATGAGGCATAAGCCATTTTTTGAAGAGATTTTAATGCATGTATTTGCTGGCTTTCTGAAATTCCCATTTTCAAAACAGTAACTTCTCGACTCATTGCTTGTAGAACATGAAATAGGCATAGTAATAAAACTGCATTTGGAAAAGTTGTTCTTATAGAGTCTCTTTCTGTCATATCTTTATCTGTGAAAATAGTGACAATTTTAGTCCATTTCTCATTTCTTGATTTGAATGTTTCAAGCACTTCACTTAGTGTTACTGAATCCTCGGATGCAGTTACAAAAATTGTTACTATTTCACTTTCTCCATTCGGTCCTACAGCCAGCCTAATATATAATGGCATGCGTAAATTTGTTAATTTGCAGGTTGCATCCATCAAAATTAGCTCTGGATACAATGAAAAATATCTTTTCATTTCTGCATCTTGGAAGAATATTGATTGAATGACTCCACTATTATTGCATTTTATGTCCACATCCGCACCTGCCACAAAATATAAGTTTGACTAAAGTGAAGCAATTTAAAGCAATGCAATATAAATTATAATCTAAAATCTACCAAAATAATATATATTATTATGTTATATTACATGAAATATTACATAGTGGTTATATAAATCAGGTTTAATATAAATAATATTGAGCGTTAGTAAAATTGTAGTGTTATTAGTAAACAAATAGTGTAACACAAAGATTTACGAATATCTACCAAATAAGACCAATTGAAAATATAGTAGCTAGTAATGATGATAAGTGTTTCATATTCAGTTTATTCTTTTTTTTTTTTTTTTTTTGCAGTCGTACGTCACTTAACATAATCTTGTTTCTGAAAATGTTACAAAATACTAGTAATGATATCCAATTTTTTTGAACTATTTAAAAAAATAATTAACTTGAAATAAAATTTAATTAAAAAAAAATTTGAAGTAATTTGTTAAACAGCAACATTAATCAGCAAAAAAAACTAACCATCGCAATTTTTAAAAACTCCAAGTAATGATTCTATATCTGTGGAACCTTCCTCCTTAGATGCTAAATTATGAAGATCTTTAAATGTTATTTTTTTCCTATTAGTGATAAATGATATTAGTTAATATATAGTAAATTGTACCAAACATACATATATATGTATGTTTGGTACACACAGATATACTTACCTATCTATAAATATATATATAAATATATAATATTTACATAAATATATATAATACATATATAACAAAACGGTCTAGAATAGTCCCTAATATATATATATATATATATATATATATATATATATATATATATATATATATATATATATATATATATATATATATATATATATATATTAGAGACTATTCTAGACCGTTTTCAACAGATATACTTACCTATCTATAAATATATATATATATATATATATATATATATATATATATATATATATATATATATATATATATATATATATATATAAATATATATAATATTTACAGATATATATATAATACATATATAACAAAACGGTCTAGAATAGTCCCTAATATATATATATATATATATATATATATATATATATATATATATATTTATATATATATATATATATATATATATATATATTTATATTCATATATATATATATATATATTTATATATATACATATATATATATATTTATATTCATATATATATATATATATATATATATATATATATATATATACATATATATATATATATATATATTTATATACATATATATATATATATATATATATATATATATATATATATATATATATATATATATATATATATATATATATATATATATATATATATATATATATAAAATATAGTAGCTAGTAATGATGATAAGTGTTTCATATTCAGTTTATTCTTTTTTTTTTTTTTTTTTTTTGCAGTCGTACGTCACTTAACATAATCTTGTTTCTGAAAATGTTACAAAATACTAGTAATGATATCCAATTTTTTTGAACTATTTAAAAAAATAATTAACTTGAAATAAAATTTAATTAAAAAAAAATTTGAAGTAATTTGTTAAACAGCAACATTAATCAGCAAAAAAAACTAACCATCGCAATTTTTAAAAACTCCAAGTAATGATTCTATATCTGTGGAACCTTCCTCCTTAGATGCTAAATTATGAAGATCTTTAAATGTTATTTTTTTCCTATTAGTGATAAATGATATTAGTTAATATATAGTAAATTGTACCAAACATACATATATATGTATGTTTGGTACACACAGATATACTTACCTATCTATAAATATATATATAAATATATAATATTTACATAAATATATATAATACATATATAACAAAACGGTCTAGAATAGTCCCTAATATATATATATATATATATATATATATATATATATATATATATATATATATATATATATATATATATATATATATATATATATATATATATATATATATATATATATATAAATATATATATATATATATATATATATATATATATATATATATATATATATATATATATATATATATATATATATATATATATATATATTAGAGACTATTCTAGACCGTTTTCAACAGATATACTTACCTATCTATAAATATATATATATATATATATATATATATATATATATATATATATATATATATATATATATATATAAATATATAATATTACAGATATATATACAATACATATATAACAAAACGGTCTAGAATAGTCCCTAAT